CTCAGGTCTACCCAGGGCTACTGCTTCAGCCTTGGCTCAGGTGCCGTCTCGTGGAGAGCTACTCGCTCCTCGTCTGTTGCACAGTCCAGCTGTGAGGCTGAGATCTACGCTGGTGCCATGGCAGCACAGGAGCTCCGCTGGCTTACCTTCTTGCTCACTGACTTAGGTGAGCGGCCGAGCTCTGCCCCGGTCCTGTTCGCTGACAACAGGGCCATGATCCTCCTGTGTCAGGAGCCTCGACTCGAGGGCAGAGCGAAGCACATTCAGCTGCGGTACTTCCTCCTGCGTGAGCTACAGCAGCGACGTCAGGCTCGCGTAGTACAGTGGGCCTCAGGTGCCAACACAGCTGATATCTTTACGAAGGCGCTTGCGCCTAAAGATCATCAGCGGCACTGTGTACAGCTTGGTCTCGTTCCTGTTGCTTCTCACTTGCTAGGACCTTGACTTGTACTGCCCTTTATATGTATACTCAGACTGGACTTGTGTCCTCTCCCAGTGGCTGGACTAGTAGTGCCGCCCTGCTCTTGTTCTTGCCTTGTCTGTACTCCTTCTGACTGGTCTCTCAGACCCTTGTCTCAGAGGTTGGACTAGTAGTGCCGCCCTGAGCTGCTTGTTTAGGGTATTCCCCTATGCAGTCTAGGGGGTGTGTCAAACATCTGTATTTGTTATGTTTGTATAGACTGTATAGGGTTACCGCTTAGAGGGTACAACACTTAGGTATATTTGTGTGTACTCTCATCTTTACCATTATTCAATTATTCTGATACCTGCAACTGTATTCTACAACTGCTTTCTTATTTTCTATATATTGTTGTATGCTTGTTTCTTCAATCAATCACTTGTTCTCATATACTAGTACAAGGGTTCAACTGCCTCAACTTCCGCTGCACTACTCAAGTCTCATTCTACAAGTGGTGTGAAAGTAGCACTAGGCTAGGAGGAAGTGAAAGAAGGCAGCCATGGTTGTGGCGGTGGGGTTTAGCTAGGAGAGTAGGGAAAATGTCGAGAGGAAAGAGTGTTGGATTAGGAAGAGAGAGGAGTACAAGGAGGGGTTTGTACCCTCTACAGAAAAGGTTCAGTAACAACCTACCAAGCCTATATAAATTATAACTTATATAATTTTAACACACCCCCTAGGCTTGGTAGTCACACACCCACCCAACACACCACACACCCCCTAACCTAGCACCCCCATTCCAGCCACAGGGACAGCGACACTAGGTCGGTCGACCCCACGGTGCGTGAGGCGGCGACGTCGACCGCAGGGGCTGCGGCGGCGACGGCGGCAGCGGCGGCAGTGTCGACAGCGGCGGCGGCGGCGGCGTGCGGCTGCGTGGCCCCGACGCAAGCGGCGACAGCGGCGGCGGCGGCGGCGGCACCCGCACCTCTCGGTGACGTGGCCAGGCCCCGCGACGGTGGGACGGCCGGCGGGAGTCAGCCGTCGGCTGCGGCAAGATACTGGACACAGGGGAAGGGGGGTGGGGCGTGGTCCAGCCTCACGCTTGAGGCTGGCGTGCGGGCAGCAGGTGTGGCGGCGCCATGAACGTCGCGCGGCAAGCTGCCGTCCGACGACGCTGCCACGGCAGCATTACGACGCCGACACATCGCGGCGTCGATGCAGCGGTGGGACGTCGCCGCTGCGACGGTAAGCACGGCGCCGTCACAGCAGTGTGGCGTCGACGCCACGCGTCACGACGCGACGGCACGGCAGGAACGGGCATGGCCGCCACGGCGGCACGGCAGGAAGTCGGAAGGCAGTGAACGAGAACGCAGCGGAAGCACGGAGGGGAGCAGGCCCAGGCAGGACGTCCTGCTCTCGATACCATGTGAAAGTAGCACTAGGCTAAGAGGAAGTGAAAGAAGGCAGCCATGGTTGTGGCGGTGGGGTTTAGCTAGGAGAGTAGGGAAAATGTCGAGAGGAAAGAGTATTGGATTAGGAAGAGAGAGGAGTACAAGGAGGGGTTTGTACCCTCTACAGAAAAGGTTCAGTAACAACCTACCAAGCCTATATAAATTATAACTTATATAATTTTAACAACTGGGACTTAGTCTCTGGAAAGATCCTAAGGGCTTTTCTCAGCCCGACACACGTGATTCACTTTAACATTTTGGGGCGTGCTACTTCCAAACTGTAGTATATATTGTACCAAATTTGTAGAGTCTACATCGTATTAAGTGTCACATGAATATCCTTCTTTATTAGTATTCGGGCCATTATGAACTAGTCTGCCAATCGAATGCAACTGACATGCAAATGAAGCACTTTCGTGGGCAGCGAGCCAGCACAAGGCCAATCATTGATATGTTGTACAAAGCGTAATGCATCATTATGTGTTGCTGTAAAGATTGATATTTCGTAGCTAAACGGTTTCTCGGGGCATGTTCTGGAGCGTACAGCTGTCTTCTGGTGAATCGGAAGGACGCTGACTCCAAGATGTCTGAAGCGTTGAGCACCCCGGTGAACGGTGAAGGGTCATGCCGTGTGGTTCAGTTCTGGCCTCTCGCTGACAGAGGAATTAAGTGTAATTTTTCCTTCAATTCCGTTTTTTTTACTGTGCTATGTATCCCCGAAGTCGTCCAACTTACGGAAACGATTTCGTGTGAATTTTTTTTAATCCGTACGGGCTATCTGTAGGGGTTAGCGACCCCCCAACAGCTAACGGGTAGGGCTATCTGGGGGGATTCCGTCTGGTAACGGGTTTATCCATAGGTGATTCCGTCCCCTTCCGGAATACCCTGGGGCTTAGCGAGAGGCCTGGTTCAGCTGTGGTACTGTAATTCGCAGCCCCTCAAAAGCTTCCTTGGAAGTGGGCAGAAGTGACACGTGAATCATTACTACTGTATAGTGCTTCTTACTGTAGGCGCAGGGCACATTTCTTCAGGGTCATCATGATCATCCCACGCACCTTCACCTGCTAACTAACGTGAGCCATGGAGTTTTGGAGTCGCGACTCGCAGAATCGTGGGGTGTGAATAGGGGGGATGAGATCAGTTTGCGTCAAGTATATTTTCAGGGCGATCAGAATGCGTCAGGTGCCGCCAACCTCGTTTCGTATTCTTACCCCAAGCCCGTGTTTACAATGTCGGATCTATCTGAATCGCACAGCTTGTATACGAGAGGACATTCTAGCAATCCCCTTGACAATAAAGAGTCTCGCATGGTTCATTTTCATTGTCTGCATCCCTTGACAACAAAGCGAGCGTACAGACCCAACTCAAGATTCAAAACCTTTGAATCTTGCGTTGTGGTAGAGAAAATGGCGAGGGGCACAAATTGTCACAAAAGAGGGGCGAGCCCCACGCGAAACGCCAAGGGCCTCACGACGACTGACATGGGCTCGCCAAAACTGGCAAGGTCGCAATGGTGCAGGGAGCGACGCTGACACGCAACCCTCGTAAGCATTGTTCTGACAAAAATGAGCAGTAAAACTCCTTTACCCTTGAAAAGGTACTAGTGCGTTGGTTATGCGTATGAATATTGGCAAAATGTAAACAAGCAAACCATAATAAAAACCAACTATTTCCTCATCGATAAGAGAATATTAGTATACTTGTGAAACGACAGTAAAGTGCACGATGTAGGGCGTTTTTTTTTTTCATAACGAAGCACATCGATCAAGACTAATACAATAAAACAATTTTTCGCTTAGTGAAATTTAAGAGTTTTTTTTCATAAAGAAGTGAGCGGGCTATGGCGCTTGTATTTCATAAGCAATGCAGTAAGTCGCATAACGCAGCGAGGCCAGATAAACCCCTTACAGTATAGGGTTACGGAAACACGGTTTTGCTTCTACTAAGCCACATTTTTCCACCGAAATAAGAGGTAAGCACTGTGTTCGCAAACGAGTATGGCAGGGAAGGAGCCATAGCCACTGAGTACTGAGTAAAAAGCAAAAGCTTTGGATCTTTGTATGGTGGGGGGGGAAGGCTTTGCTTGTTCCGTCGCTGGGTTTGGGGGGGGGGGGGGGGGGGGGGGGGCGTCGCATAGTGCGTCACCTCCCCCAAATCTCAAAATCGCACCCCTCTGGTATGTATTTGGTTACCGAATTTCTGTCGCGTTTATTGTCGTGCGTATTACAAGTCAAAATCTTGAGTCGTGAGTTTGGTCTGTCCGCTCACTTTAACCGACTGACGAAGGTTACGTAAGTATCGTTTGAATCATTTACGTCGTACAAAATAGACACTTGTTTCTTTAACAGGTTGTTATTGTAAATGTTTATTAGCCTTTTAAGAAACTAGGGAATAAATATATGAAAATATCATATATGAATTTTAATTCGAATATATATTTTTATTTTATTTTGGAATCAATATTATTGATACGAATCACCAATTAAAGTCATGCTAATATTGCTAAGTTGATTAGTTTCTTATTATGTCAGCGTTATTTATTAATTTATCTTTATGATTTTTCTCCACCTGAAGATTCATAACTGTTTTGCTGTAATTAATATAGTCGTGTTTTGTACTAATTTATATAATTGTGACCTAAGAAACAAACATTTAGTTTGTACGATGTAATTTATTCAAACCATACTTACATGACAATCGTCAGTGCGTTTATGTCGAGGGATGCAGATATGAAAACGAACCCTGTGATACTCTTGCGGAAATGGCGAGAATGCATTTCGTTTACAAGCTGTGCGATTCAGACCGATCCGACTGAGTAAACACGGGCTTGGGGTGTAAATACGAAACGAGGTGGGAAACTGACGCATTCTGATCGCCTTTGCCAATATACCTGACGCAGACTGATCTCTTCCCGTGAATTGGGTGTGTGGGATGTGGGCCAGCCTGGACAAAACACATCAGTGTCCCAATCATCCAATCCCCTCGACCCTCCGTCCTCGCAGAGGACGCAATGGGTGGGACAGCTCCAGTGCGAGATTCCGTCCACGGAAGACGCTGGCTTGACAGCGCAATGTTCGACAGCGAGGCTCACGTGGTTCCCGTGCAGTGGATGGCAGGCCGCTGCATCCTGCGGCTTCTTCGAGCTTGCCGGTTGCATCTGGTCGGTTATGACCAGACCCTCCTGGCTACTAGTAGTCCCGTCGCGAGCCGACAATTTCCGGAATCCGGTCCACCTCTTGGAATCACGAGAGGCTGAAACGTTTCTAGGGTCACTCGCTGTAATATGATTCGTCACACGAGATCCAGATTGATACCCTTGGCTCTTGGATCGTGAAGGCCTCTCGGCGTCAGAAAGGCTGCTGGTGTCTCAACTACCCGTTCAGTTCAGTACCTCGGAGTTGTCGACGCGCGTTTCTAGGAGGATCAAATGGCGTCACTTGAGGATTCGTAAGGTCACGAAACCGACTTGAATTTCGTAAGGTCGGACTTCGAAGTCCGAGATATTTAGGGATCACCGACCAGACTCTCTCTGTTCAAAGGCTCTCGACCTCTTGTCAACTGCTATTCCCTCGCGGCGGCTTACTACTACGTCCGAACCATTGGCCGTCAATCTTAACTTCCGTGTTAACTTCACCATACACTTGCGTAGTCTAGTTCTCCGGTCGCCTTAGTTTCTCTCAGCCACCTGAGGTTTTCTTCGCACCGTAATTTCCTCGTTCTATCATCATTATGGGTTCGCTCGGCTCGCCAGCAGAGTTCGTGCTCTCCTCGGAGCAAGTGCAGCTGATTAAAGACAGCTTCAAGGCCAAGCTGCAGGCGGATGTACCCTACCACGCAATGACTCTTTTCATCAAGTGAGCACCGCTTGTTTCCACGACTGGCGATCCGAACGCGGCAGTGGCATTTCTGAGCTCCTATGGCTTTTTCCCTGGTGTTTCTGAGCAGTGTGCTGATCTTTTCTGGTTTCATGCCTGTTTATAATTCCCCTATGGGCAGCCTGTTCGAGATAGTGCCGGAAGCCAAGGCCCTCATCTCCTTCACCAGGGACTACACGGGTCCTATGAGGGAGAACGAGGGGCTGCAGGCACACGCCACCACCGTGCTCAAGAAGGTGAGCGCGTCGAGTGAATGGGTTGTGTGTGGGAAGCAATTGGAAGGATGAACGAGCAACAGGCCTCCACCGTGCTCGAGAAGGTGAGCGGTGCTGGAGTGAGACGGTGACAGAGGAGAAATGGAGGGTGTGTACTTGGAAAAGGATAGTGGAGGGAGAACAGGGCCGTGCAGGAACACGCCGCCACTGTGCTCAAGAAGGTGAGAGCGCTCGAGTGCAGTAGGGATGGGGAACAGAGGAGACAGCGCAGTGAGAAGATAGCAGAGGGGATATGGATGGCGTGAGTGTGTGAGGGGGGGATGGGGGAGGGGTAACAAGGAGAGTGCTGGAATCAAGGCGAGCCTCTAGTGGCACAGGAACACGCCGCCACCGTGCTCAAGAAGGTGAGCACTGGAGGAAACCGCATAGAGGAGGAGGAATGAAATGGGGTGCGTGTGTGAGGGGAACGGGAGAGGGGATGGGGAGGTATACGGCAGCGCCTGGAAGGCGGTCGTTGGAAGCACGATCTGTTGGGGTTTCGGAAGAATACGGAAGGGGTTTCACATGCTGGGGGTTGGTGATTCAGGTGCTGTGGCAGGTTGAGGGGGTTACAGGTGGAGGGGGTGCAGGGTGAGGATGGGGATGAGGTGGGGAGGAGGCTTGGGGAGAGATGGAGGAAGGGCCATTATGGTTGCAGCCGGAACGTATTTTATCTTGAAATGTTTTTTTTTGTGCAGGTTTGCAGGTGGTAGAAACCGGTAGTTGTACGAAAGCTTGACTTCTGGCTTTTGTTTGTGTCCCCGTGTCATTGGTGTGTGTAGGTGGTGAACATTGCGACGAACCTGGACAACGAGAAGCAGGTGGAGATGTTCAGTAAGAGCCTTGCGGAGCTGGGCGGGAAGCACATCGGATATGGAGTCAAGCTCAAGCACGCTGCGGTATGTATAAGTGTTGTGCTTCAGTGCTGGACCCTGCAGTGCCAAGTGAGATTGGTGAGGTGAACCAATATTAATTTGCAACAAGCCGATCCGTATCGGAAACCTTAAACGATCTTTGTGGTTTACTTCAATATCTTTGTCACTGTGGAAGCGCCCTACACACTGCAACATGTTTCCAATATAGCCATGTATTGCTGCTGCCATGCGCCAGCTATTTCCAGCCTCTAATACAATGGCTTTTCCTTCCCAATGTCCATGTGGCTTTTTTTCCAGAAATTGAGGGATGCGTTTGTGCTTACCATGGCACAAGGCATGGGAGACACGTGGAGTGGTGATGTGCAAGCAGCGTGGATCGCAGCCTACGATGTGATAGAGCAGATGTTTGTTGTAGGTCTAGTTGGGCTTGCTGCTCCAAAGTAGACAGTAAAAGCTAGGTGCAGGCTCAATCGACCAGAGATGCTTGGTTGGTTGGTGCCAGCTTCACTAGTTAGTAGTTCTTGTTTCGAATGTGCTCCTGTTGTATATTATGCGACGTATTCTTACAAGCAGCACCGTCTAACGCGAAACGAAACAGCGCGTAGTGGGGATAATTTGTGGATGTCCTCTCGGAACCTGAAAGGCCTTCTAGTCCGTTTCCTATATGAGGACGTATTCACAATATGTTCTACTGTGTATCTCAGTTCGATTTTGTCAGAGCCACTTACCATCCCATCCAACTGTGCGTTGAACTATGCTGGTGGAGGAAGTGAAAACTTACCTAAATGGATACTTGCACCCTGCATTCGCGTGTCGTAACCTCCATTACAATTGTCATGAGTCGCTGATGAGTGGGAGCCAAGCAAAGACCCCTCATAAATCTAGACCCAGCGCTCCTTTTGTGTGAAACTCGCCCCGAGTATGATGGTAGTTATTACGCATGCGACGAATGTGCTAATTTCTACGAGACACGGCGCATTCCATGGCACAGTGGGGTCCTGTTTGGCGGGATAGTCGATGGGCCAATCGTTTACCGCCGACAGATTTGCTGGCGTCCAGTCCGCGGTTAGAAATGACGCTGATTGGCTGGCCGCGGGGAGGAAATAATTATCGCCTAGATGCTGACTTGTTCACAGCGCGCAGTGAGAAAATCAATCCACCTTGACCTTGTCCAAAAATGAGTACCTTGGTTCTACACGACAAGCGCATGGTCAGGCCACCTACTATCAGTGGCTCGTTCCCTTCGAGCTTCCCCGTTCAAAGAACAGATACGGCCCGGACCGAGCTTCCTCGATTATTGCTGTTCGGGGACGTGACGGATCCAACCCTTGGCGCCTCCAGGGAAGTGCAACGTCTGAAACGTTTCTCCGGCTCCTGCTGCACAACTACTAGTAGTAGGGGGCAAACTGCCTTTCCTGGGTCCTACGGGCGTGACGCCCTTTCGGTCGCAGAAAGGTGGCGTCGCAACGCAACTACCCCCTCGTTGTTGTCGACGCGCGCGAGCTCCCGTTGCGAGCGAGGCGCGTCACGCAACCCACCAAACTTCCACCCAACCCCCACCCAGACCGATCTCGCTGCTGTTTCGTCCTCAGGCCTCTCCGACCGTCGGAGAGGTGACCTCTCGTCAACGCACTTCATTCGACTAGCATATAAACTGGCGAGAGAAAACAGTTCAATCAAACGCAGTTCCTTATCCGCCGGTCCTTTTTCTGAACCGTATAGACCTTTCCTTCCTGTTTACTGCACGCGAAGCCGCTGCTACTACGACCGCTGTAGCTCCTCACAGTTGATTTTCTACCCTTCGCGATACTAGCTTTCTCGTTATTCAGCCATGGGTTCGCTCGGCTCGTCTGGTGCTGCTGAGTTCATCCTCCCTTCGGAGCAAGTGCAGCTGATTAAAGACAGCTTCAAGGCCAAGATTCAGGCCGATGTGCCCTACCACGCCATGACGCTCTTCATCAAGTAAGCATTTTCCTTCCAGTTTTGACTTCTAATGTCCGAAAAACGGCTCCAATAGTTGTAAATCTGACGATTCTCGTCTTTTCAAGATCTTTTCAAGAGTCTGTTTCTTCTTGGTTTCCTGATCCCTTGATTTCATGGCTCTTTCCAATTTACAGTCTGTTCAAGATAGTGCCGGAAGCCAAGGGCCTCATCTCCATGACCAGGGACTACACGGGCCCCATGAGGGAGAACAAGGCGCTGCAGGCACACGCCACCACCGTGCTCAAGAAGGTGAGCGGTGCTGGAGTGAATGAGTTGCGTGTGGGAAGCGAGTGGATGGATGAACCAGCAACACGCCACCACCGTGCTCAAGAAGATGAGCGTGCAGCGAGAAGTTAAACAGAGTAGGTAGCAAGAGTGTACTGAGTGGTGGGACTGGAAAGGATGGTTGGAGTCACATGCTAGCACGGAGGGGAGGGAGTGAGAGTGGGCATAGTCAAGAGGAGATGTTACGCCAGCAAAAATTGACTCTCTTTTCTGATGTCTCTGTGGCTTTCATATGTGCAGGTGGTGAACATAGCCACGAATCTGGACAAGGAGAAGCAGGTGGAGATGTATCGGACGAGCCTTGCAACCTTGGGCGGGAGGCACATTGGATACGGAGTCAAGCTCAAGCACGCTGCGGTATGCTTTGATAACTCTGCATCACTGAACTGCCTCCTGTTTACATCACACAGTCCCATAACACTTCCCTAATTTCAGTATTTTCAACCTCTAATACCGTTTCTTTTCTTCTCCAATGTCCATGTGCCTGTGTTTTCCAGAAATTGAGGGATGCGTTTGTGCTTACCATAGCGAATGCCATGGGCGACACATGGAGGGGTGACGTGGAAGCAGCATGGATTGCAGCCTACGATGCCATTGAGCAGATGTTTGTTGTTGGGCTGGTTGGGCTTGCTGCTCCAAAATAAGCAGGAGAGTGGATTATGTTAGAATACGATAATTAATTACTAGAAAGAGAAACCTAGAACATATACCTGTTGGGTTGTACTCACTAGAAGCACACACCTAGTCTAGCCTATAACTTCTACATAGAACATATGTATAAGTTGACACACCCCCTACGCTAGATAAGGGGTGGAGCTAAGCAAGAAGCACACAGCTCACGATGGCACTACTAGTCCAACCACTGAGGCAGGGGTCCGCGGTGTTAACGTAGAAACGAATGATTTACTAGAGGTGGAAACCTAGAACAAATACTAGTTGGTTGTACTCACTAGAAGCATACCTCAGTCTAGCCTATAACTTCTACATAGATAATATGTATAAGTTGACACACCCCCTAGGCTAGACAAGGGGTGAAACTAAACAAGAAGCAAACAGCTCAGGGCGGCACTACTAGTCCAACCACTGAGGCAGGGGTCTGGAGACCAGTCAGCAAGAATACAACCAAAACTGAAGCAAGCCAGGGTGGCACTACTAGTCCAGCCACTGGAGGTAAGGCCACAAGGCCAGTCTGACAAGCATATATAATAGAGAGTACACAATCAGGATCCTAACAGGGGAGCAGCTATAGGAACAAGACCAAGCTGTACACAGTGCCGCTGATGATCTTTAGGCGCAAGCGCCTTAGTAAAGATATCAGCTGTGTTGGCACCTGAGGCCAAGTGAACTACGCGGGCCTGGCGGCGCTGCTGTAGCTCGCGCAGGAGGAAGTACCGCAGCTGGATATGCTTCGCTCTGCCCTCAAGCCGAGGCTCCTGACACAGGAGTATCATGGCCCTGTTGTCAGCGTACAGGACCGGGGCAGAGCTAGGCCGCTCACCTAAGTCTGTGAGCAAGAAGGTCAGCCAGCGGAGCTCCTGTGCCGCCATGGCACCAGCGTAGATCTCAGCCTCACAGCTAGACTGAGCCACAGACGACGAGCGAGTGGATCTCCAAGAGATAGCACCCGAACCAAGGCTGAAACAGTAGCCCTGCGACGACCTGAGCGTCTCAGCGTCGTCTGCCCAAGAAGCGTCTGTGTGCCCAGTAAGGACCACTGGCCTGCGTCCTCCTAGCACTAACCCCATGCCTGATGTACTAGCAAGATAACGCAAAACCCTCTTAGCGGCAGACCAGTGCTGAGGTCGGTGTCTGCCTGTAGCCACAAAGCGAGCCAGGATGCTGAGAGGGTATGCGAGATCTGGGCGAGTGGAAGTCATCAGGTACATGAGGCAACCCACCAGCTCTGCGTAGGGGCCACTGGGCTCTACTGGCTCCTCAGGAACGGGAGCAGAGAGCCCATGGTCTACGGGTAGAGGTGTGGGCTGTGCGGAGGAGAACTGAAGACCGAACCTCTGAAGGACCTGACGCACCAAGTGTGACTGGGTCAGAGTGATGGTGCGTGCTGCTCTGTCCCTAGAGATCTGCAGGCCAAGATAGCGACGCAGCTCTCCAAGGTCAGTGCAGGTGTGTCTCTTCAGCAGCTCAGCCTTCACAGAGGCCAGTGCGTCTCTGTCAGGAGTAGCGAAGACCAGGTCGTCTACGTAGACAAGGATGTAGAACGGAGTCTGGCCGGAACGCACAAACAGTGAAGGGTCAGCAGAGGACGGAAAGAACTGCAGGTCTGCTAACGTGGCACGTAGCGTGTCGTGCCACTCGCGGGGAGCCTGACGCAGGCCGTAGACCGGGCGCCTGAGAAGCCACTGGGTCCCAGGAGGGAAGGTACCAGTGAAGCCCTGTGGTCGGCGCAGGTAGACCTGCTCGTGTAGGCTGCCCTGAAGAAAGGCAGTAGAGAAGTCGAGAGAGTGAAGCTCGTAGTCACGCTGTGCTGCTACGTGTAGCAGCGCCCGAAGAGTGGTCATCTTCGGGGTCGGGGCGAAGGTCTGGAAGAAGTCAACCCCCTCGCGCTGACTGAAACCTCTGGCCACGTAGCGCGCCTTGAAGACAGGCGGCTCTCCAGGGGGGCGCTTCACCTTGAAGAGCCACCGACCATCGACTACGTTCACCCCAGGCGGGGGAACTGCGTCGACGTAAGTGCCGGTGGATCTCCAAGATGCCATCTCCTGCTCCATGGCAGCTATCCACTGAGAGGCCCAAGGTCCCGAGGTGGCCTCAGCGTAGGTGCGAGGGGTCGGGATGTCGAAGGCGTCTGGGTCACCCTCAGGGACTAACAGCATGGAGCAGAGATGGGGAGCAGCCTCGGAAAGGAAAGCCAGCTCGTACTGCCTGTCCTCTAGGACGTCACTGCCAAGGGCAGGAGCACCCCCGACGGACAGAGGACGGGCAGGGTCAGAGACCAGAGCGGTAGCGTAGTCAAGGCGGCGGGTAGAAGCGAAGTCAGCGACAGCAGCGACAAGCGCGTCAAGGCGCGAGACAGGAACAGCAGGGTCGGTAACAAGAGAGGCAAGGACCCGAGGGACAAGGGGACGAGCAGCACGGAGGTAGTCAGAGAACGGAGGAGGTGCAACAGCAAGGGACGAGGGAGGAGGGGACGGGAGGAGGGGAGGACGAGACGAGTGGGAACGGAGCAACATAGGGTGGGTGGGCAGGACAGGAGAGACGGGACGAGCACGGGAGGGACGGCGAGCCCAAACGTGAGACGGAGGGGTAGGGTCAGGGGACAGCGGAGGAGACACAGGAGGGGAACGAGGAGGAAGACGGGCCGGAGACGAGTCTGGCGGCGGGAACACAGGACCGTAGACAGGGAGGTCAGGAGGCGGTGGGGGAGACACCGGCGCGCGGTCCGGGGAGGGAAGGCCGAGCAGGCGGAGAGCGGAAACCGGCGGCGACGGCTGCTGTGGCGGCGACGACGGCTGGGCCGGAACTCTCGGACCAGCAGAGGCAGAACGACCGTCGGCAGAACACTCAACAGCAGCACCCCCAGAACCAACACCCCAAGAGCGAGAACCCCCTCCAACACCAGCGGCACCCCCAGAAGCCGCAGGACGAACACCCTCCTCCACACCAGCACCCCCAGGGGCCGAGAGCAGCGGCGGCAGTGGCGGCGACAGCGGCGACGGCTGCGGCGGCGACGGCGACGGCGGCGGCAGCGGGGTCGGCGACTGCGACAGTGGGGGCGGAGGCACTGGGGAAGGGGGACGCGGCAAGGACGGACCGGGGGTACCACCAGAGTCAGCAGACTCCTCAACGGGGACAACCGACGGGAGGGGAGTGACGTGGGAGACACCAGACGGGGCAGGACGAGGCGGGAGAGGGGCAGGGGCTACCGGGGGAGAGGGAGCAAGGAAAAGGGGGGGGCAACTGGGAGACCTCGGTGAGGGAAGCGGCGGTAGAAGGAGACGGACTCGTCAAAGGTGACGTCACGAGAGTGGAGGAAGCGGTGAGACGGCGGGTGGTAGAAAAGCCAGTCAGACGAGTCCAGGGGGAAGCCGAGGAAGACACAGGGGACAGTGCGGGCAGTGAGCTTGTCCGTGCCAGAGGCACGAACGTGAGCAATGCAGCCCCAGACGTGGAACGCAGACGCGTCACCGGGGGACCCGGTCCAAAGGAGGGTCGGCGAAACCTGCGGCCGCTGGGAGCGTGGCCACAGGTTAAGCTGGTGAGCCGCGTAGCGAACAGCGAACGGCCACAGAAAATGGGGGGCATCGGCATGGATCATGGAGGTACGGGCGACCTCCATGACCAAGCCGATGCGGCGCTCAGCAACCCCATTCTGCTGTGGCGAGTCCGGCAACGTGTACGACTGGGTGATGCCCTCCGCACGACAGAACTGTCCAAGCCGACCAGAGGCGAACTCGCCGCCACGGTCGGAGTGGAGACACAACACGGGGAGACCGCGGTGGAGACGCGCAGCTACAACCCACGGGAGAAGAACGTCGGGCACGTCGGCCTTCCGCTCCAGGGGAAACACCGTGGTGTAGCGCGTGTAGTCGTCAACGAGCACAAGGAAGTAGCGCTCACCGCGCGGTCCGGGGACGGGGGCAGGGCCCCAAACGTCCAAGTGCAGGGTCTGAAGGGGGGCAGTAGCAGGACGCAGCGAGGAGGAGTGAGGAGCACGGCGGAGCCGACCCTCGACGCAAGGCGTGCACGGTGGCGCAGTCGAGGGAGGAAGGGCAGGGAGCGACGCGGGGAGACCTAAGACAAGACCGTGCTGGGACATGTGACGCAGACGCGGGAGAGCAGGGTGACCTAAGCGGTGGTGCCAGAGAAGGGAGGGGTGAGTGAGGGACCGACACGAGCAAGCTGCAGCGACCTGGGAGGACGCACCAACCGGGGGGGAAGCGGTGTGTAGGGTAAACAGACCGGACACCGGGTCCCGGGGGAACGTCGCAAGGGGGGAACCGGAGACAGCCTCAGAACAGACAGCGAACCGCTCGTGCCCGGGGAACGTGGTGGTGACGCCGAGGTCCTGGAGACAGCCGACACCAACCAGGTTCCTGGAGAACGAGGGAACGTGGAGGCCAGTAAGGGAGCCCGAGGGAACTGCCGGACAGGGAAGGGACGTAGAACTGCGCGCGACGACCGGACCCGCAGAGGGGTCAGCGAGAGAGACAACAGCAGGTGCAGCAAGCGGCGTGAGCGTGGAACGGTCGCGGAAGAAGCAGGCAGAAGCACCAGAGTCAAGAGTGAAGGACAGCGACGCAGTGGCGGAGGCCGCGGACGGAGCCGGTGCAGCGTCTAGACTAGGCAACCTAGGCAGTCCTACGCCTGTCGCAGCAGGGGAAGCTAAGCTACACAAGGGTGAAACACCTAAACTAGAGTACACATGGTAGTAAGATCCATCAACACTAGAAGCGTCAGCATACAAAGCATGCAAAGCAGCACCTATCTGATCCATGTCTAACTCAAAGATCGGCACGCCCTGGCGGAGCAGGCTGTGCCAGTCAGGGAGGTCCGGGGCCGGGCCAAAGCGACGACGAAAAAGATCGTCGAGGCGGCGGAAACAGTGGGCGGTCGGGTGCGGGCGGCGGCACAGAGTGCCGCGGAGAGGCCCGGTCTGAAGCTGGTACTGGCAGGTCACAGCACTGGAGCCGCTGGTAGACGCCAAGCTGCGCGGGCCGCCACCACGGCCACCGCCTCCGGAGGTGCCGGGCCAACCAGGCGGGAGACGAGCCTACGGCTGCGGCGGGTGCTGCTGGGACGGCGGCTGCGGCTGGGGCTGGTCCTGCTGCTGCTGGGACTGCTGCTCCTGCCCACCGGTGGTAGTCC